GTATTCCGGACTTAGGTTCTGGAGTTGGTTGTTGTATATATCTTGTCGTCATCCTTTAATTCTTTGTATTTGAGTTTTAGGATGTGTTGGGCAGGTTTGTTACAGGTTGGTAGTGAGTTTAAACCAATGGTTGCTGCCCGGATTTTGGTGTCTTCGCTCGAGCGAGGCTTTTGTCGCTCGAGCGAGCTCTATGTTTTAGTTCCTTCGCTCGAGCGACAGAGTGTTGTGTCTGGTGGCTCGAGCGAGGAGTCTTGCGCTCAAGCTTGCGTCTGCGTCCAGTTCTGGACCTGAGAGTTGCAATTCTTCGCTCGAGCAAGCTTTCCTTCGCTCAAGCGAGCTTTTCTTTGCTCGAGCATGCTTCTGGGTTGCAGACCTGAAGCTTCGATTTGTTGGCTCGAGCGAGGCTTTCTACACTCGAGCGAGGTTTCTTTGTGTCTTGTCGCTCGAGCGACCACTCCTTCGCTCGAGTGAGCCTCGTATATTTCAGTTCGCAGCAGCTTCTCTTTCTTCACTTTTTCTCCATCTCTTTTGGTTCAAATCCTAAATCCGGCTCCCTCTCTCTCTACACACACCCTCTCTCTAGGGTTTCATCTACTTCTAGAGTGTTTCTACCCTAATCTCTTTGTAAGAAAGATAGAGGGTCGCAAGGGCTTCACTTTAATCTGAAAAGTTGTGGATTTGGAGCACTTTGAGTTTCACCTCTCTCCTCCTTTGAGCTCCGAAAATTAAGGTAGGGATAATCTATTCTATTCTATTCTATGAGTTTTGACATAAATTTTAGTCATTTTGATTAGTTGGTGTTGTTTGGTAATTTTAGAAAAGTTAGGGTTTGGTTTGAGGTCATAAAAAGGGGATTTTCAAAAGATAAAATCCATGTGTATGTGAGGTTATGAAAAATGGAATTGTTGTGGTTGAATTGATGAAAATGAGCCTTATGGCTAATGTTGGGAAAATGGGGAAAAAGCCCTAATTTAATGTGACCAATTAATTTGAATAATTAATTTGGAAAATTGTGTAATTGAGTTGAAATTCATGAAATTGGGAAGTTGTGGGATTGAATGGTGTAGTTGGATAATTTAATCATTCACCTATGGGAATGTCGATATTTTATCTGTTGATAAATTTATTATCTGTTTAGAGATAACTGCTTTGGGCTATCGGTGGAGGATAGTCTTGATTGTTGTAGACATTGTATGATGATTAGGGAAAACTGAAACTAATCACATTGAATATGTCATTGAATAGGACGGTTGGAATAATACAGCAAATGTGTGTATTGATTGATCATTGTATATGATAAGTGTTTTAATACATTGTATTTGTATATTGTTTGGGAGGAGATAAGGGATGTACTCCATGGTTTGAGAGGAGATAGAGGATGGACTCTCAAACCTGTTTGGGAAGAGATAGGGGATGGACTCCACTGATACAACAAATATGTGTATCAATTGAAATATGGAAGTGTTTTAATATGAGTTATAATCACATGTGAATTGTGAAGTATGGAAATGTTTTAAATATGAGTTATAGTCTCATTGAATTGTTTGGTCAGGTTCTGAGCCATAGTTATGAATCAAAAATGTATAAGTGAAGGAAATTAAAATGAAAAATGGGTGTACTTGATATTGAATTGAAAAGATTGTAAGTTGGTTTATATGTGCTAACCATATATCAAATGCTATTGTTTTAGTTATTTCTCATACTTGGTTTTGTATATCTCTACTGAGCATCGGCTCACCCTTTATGGGACATCATTTTCAGGTTCAGGAGATATGTCACCTCCAAGGACGTAACTTGGGAGGCTTAGAGACTTGAAGATCATTTTGTTATTTTCTTTTTGTATTACATGTTAATCAAGCCAAGGGCTTACTTTGTATAAAGAGTTAGAACTCTTCTTTTGTTGAACCCAAGTGTTGACTTGGAAAGTTGTAAGCCCCTAGGGCATTTACTTTTGTTGTCAACATATAATATTTGTGTACTTAATACTCTGATGAATGGAAATATACTTTATTCTCTTATGTCTATGCATGTCAAAAATGATGGTTTATATGCATTATTTGAGGGCGTTACAGATATTTAATTGCAAATATTTATTGATGTCCACGTGGTCACCATTTATATTACCGCTTAGAAATTAAAGCAAAATTTCCACGTGGCTATTCAATGCAATCTCTTCTTTTGGTGCAAACAATTGTTTGCAATGAATTAAAATGAATTAATGAATGAAGTTTATGAAAGTTTGCCATATTAAAATTAACTAAAATTTTTATTTAATTGAAAATTGTATCTATTTCTCCAAAAAATTAAAAACATTGTTTGGAAACATTTATTTTAATTTTCACATATAAAAATTAATTAAAATTTTGTTTGGTTTAGTGAATATGCGAAAAATAAATAAATAAATCACTTTATATCTCCTATACATCAATTAATCACTTTTTCTCACTCCTCTCTCCTTCTCAATCACTTTTTCTGTTACACACATCTACTCAACTACAATAAAATTATTTTCGCAACTCCTGTACTCCAAAATTAGCTCGAACATATACAACCAAACAAACCAACTAAATTTTGTAACTCTTTCTCTTTCCCCATAATTAATTTTCATAATTTATCTCTCAAAACAAAACCAAACAAGTCCTAAGTTTTTATTCAAATATTTTTTTGTTCCAAAATATTTGTTTCTTAAAAATTAATGAAAAAAATATTACGAATTTTCTATTTTGATTTATCTTTGAAATTCATTAATACTACGAAATATACAATGACGACAATTGCTATTTAAAAAAAGAAAAAAAATTCAAAAAGGGGAAATGGTGAATTTCAGATAATTTAGTTAAGTAAAAAAAGAAAATTTTACAAAAATAGACAAATGTGGTTACCAAATTCGGCGTTTACTTATACAAACAATTAATAAAAATAAAACAAAAAATTACACAAGCAATCTACATTTAAATAGTAAATGATAAGATGTAGTACTTAAAAAAATAGCAAATTTTTCAACATAATTGCATTGTCCTTACCCGAATTACAAATTTAAATAATTTGTTACAGTCACATTGCAATGCGAAAATAGAAATTACAAATTGCACAAACATGCAAATTAGGCACCAAACATTTCACAACAGTCCTTGATTCCGTATGTGAAACAAATGGTCACGGATGCGCACGCGAACTCTGGTCATATCTACATCTGTATCCCCAACCATGAGGCCATCATCAATATTTTGTCCTCTTTCCACGGTGGGCATGTCATCTGGCATTGAGAAACAACTGACATGTTGGTTGTTTGCATTAGCAGCTATCTCGTGCCTACGAATGAAATTGTGTAAGGCTATTGACGCACCAACCAATAGCACCTACACCGTCGCAAAATCATAATCGAGCATGTCGTTTAGGAACTTCCAGCGCGATTTCCACGCTCCAAATGTTCTTTCCACCACGCTCCTCAATGATGCATGCGCCTGGTTAAACAATTCTCTTGGGTTATCAGGTCGTCCACGATCCCGGAACTGTACTTTGTGATACCGAGACCCTTTGTATGGTGCCAAATACCCCTTCTTGTTTGGATATCCCACATCCACAAGGTAATATTTACCTACATTTGGTCAATCAATTGAAGATTTCCAACAAAATTAATAATGAGTACTTAATTTCAAATGTGTTACCTTCTTGGGGGTGCGGGAACGGTGCATGTTCATTCTCAATTATTTCATTGGAGATGCAACTGTCATGCATGCTTCCTTCCCAACCACAAGATTTGAAAATGAAACACATGTCGAAGTCACATACGGCTAGTATGTTTTGGGTGGGATATCATTTGCGACCGTAATATGTGCCGGCATCACGGGCAAGCAACACGGCTTCTACATGAGTACCGTCAACGCTCCAATACAATGTTACACCAATAACGTACATCACATGAGGTTCACATACATCACATAAAATGAAAAGTAATTGATAACGACAACTAATATGCTAACCTTGAAAGGCACGTATTTCCCTCTAAATCGCAAATATGGATGCCTATTATTTTGATCTCTGGTGGGCTTACAATGCACTTTTGTGAACAACTTCATTGCTTCCAACACTGCATGGAAATGTCGCGATACAGTTTCTCCCAAGTGTTGGAATCGTTCCTGAATTTTTTGGTTAGTGCAGCCGTCCAACGTATGGATGATCATCGCAACACTTTCTTCAATGTGTAATCCATGGGGTCTTGTAGGTACCCGTAAACCGAAGTCGCTTCGCAATGTGTCACATAACGCTTGAAACACATACAGCAGCATATGCAAATTTTGTTCACCCCTGCCTACGTGCCCATCAAATAGTGCCCATCAAATAATTCTTGAATCCAGGTACGACCGGTTAGAATAGAAGTTCAGCATGTGATCTTCTCCATGTACTTCAAGTAATATTCCATTGCATGCTGCGTAGCGTCACCGATTACGCTGTTTTGTAGGTCTTCTTCTTCCTCAGCATGTTTGATGAAATCACGTAATCGTAATTTCTATAGTTGCTACTTTCACCTTTCCACATTACTTGTTGATGACTCCTACAATGCACACAACACACAGATCAATTATCCACTTGTAAACTAAGCACATTTGGACCATTAAAGTTCAACCATAAAAGTGGAACACATCAAACATTTGTGACATTACATACAACCATTAAAGTGAACAATGCCAACAACGTAAAGGTTACACTATGATCCCATATTGCGTGAGACAAAATAGGTAGCATTCACAAAAGTAAAGTAACAGTAACTTCAGCACAGATGCTCCACTGACAAAAACAAAAAAAATAAAAAAAGATACCCACAGAACTAGTCCACAAAAACCGCACTGCAACAAAACCAAACAAGTCCCATTTTTGCATGAAAGACCAAACCCAAGTCCTCACAGGCCTTTTGAAGCCTGTAATGCCGCAAGCCAACCAACTACATTCTCATCATCTAGCATGCACATCAATATTTCCCGGTAATCCGCGTTCTCTAACGCAATGCAGGCGAAATGGAACAGGGGGGTACTGATGAGGTCCGAGATAGCCATAAGCCGCTACATACATGGCTCAATGCCATACTTCTGCGATGCACCGGTTCCGTGCCTGACCGTCAGGTGCTTCTATGCTTGAACCACGTTAGACAAATGGTTAAAATTATCCGCAAGCACTGATGCTCCACTAGAGATCTTCGACTTTCCACTAGTGCTACCTCCCTTTTTCCTCTTTGTCCCGGGGTCAGCCACTTCAAGGTGGACGGTGGAGGAGTTTGGAGGTGAGTTAACGACCGGTGTATGGCTCGGTAAATGGTACCAGCCCAGGAGAGTCCATTGACTCGGATTCACCTTCGCCAACATCCATAGCCTTCTCCCCCGGCGTCCAATGGTGTTTGTTAGTCGCAGTTGCACCTGTGAATACTTCGCGCATCAACTCTTCATGCTCCAATGGTTTCGTCTTGAATTTGTAAGCTATCTTGTTTGTCTGCAAATGAAAAATCAAATTAGAATTTAATTTTTTTGTCACAGTGACAAGGGACAATCAACGAACGAGTTCATTTCGCTTACATGTGTGTACAAAATTAAAGGGGCTAGTTTCATATAAGTTAAATGTAGTTACTTTTTTATGTTGTACAGTGTTGAAATTGGTAGTTATTTTGGATTGAAAGGTTTTGAAGTAAACTTACATATGTGAAAAGTTTACGACCAATAATGAATAATAAGTACAAGTTGCCATTAAACTTTCAGGACTTATTACGGAAAAGCAAACTATATGTTGGTACATACAAATTTAAGATTGTCCCACCACTCTTCCGACGCTGTGAACCCCCCGGTTTCCCTGTCAAACCCAATGCCAGTCACACCCTTACTACTATCCATCAACTTGTTCCAAGCCTTCCATTCCTTTTTCAAACTGCCGTACTTGTTCTTCAGCTGTGTAATTTTATGACGTCTACCCGTGTGCTTAGCGAATTTTAGTGCAATTTCATTATACCCTGTTTTGGTTATGGTTGTACCTACTCGCCGGCCCGCTAATATTGCATCCCTAACACTGTAGGAAGATTTCTGTCGCTACACTGTCCCAGTTCGCCATATGTGCATGATCAAAGTCATCAACAATTCCTTCGGTACCTGATGGGCCAACCCCTTTATTCTTAGACGGGGTGCGAGGGGACAACTGTGTTGCAACCATTCGACTAATGTGAGAGGACGCATTGTATACATTAGAACCCAGTCGATGAATACATTTCAGACAATAAACTATGAATAATATGTAAAAGCGAACTTCCACATTTTTATAAAAAGTAGTACGATAATTACTAACATGTAGCGTTTACATACAAAAAATCACAATGCAGTTACTTGTTCAAAATAGTACTTCAAAACAGTACTTATGTACAAGGCTAATGATTTACGGGATTTACATTTGCAATAATAAGATGATGACCATGATGCACAACACACAAATCACAGTTTTCATACACGCAACGTATTAAAAATGTGCACGACATCAGCCCGTTACTGCATGACATCGATTGACCTAGAGTCATGGTCGAGGCTTCGTCTCCCTGATTCGTCACACCAACCAATCCAACATTTATTAGTTATGAGAATTACAATGTGCAAACATATGGAGTGACAAATAACCATTTGTTACAACTCACCACGGGCCGAGGGCAAACATAATATGCATGACCAGGATTTTTGTGAGATCTGGATACCTTCACAAAACAATGGCCATAGCCACAAGCACACATGCGTTGTGGCCATGTCGACGTGGCAGTGGAAAAAGAGGAAGCCATATTACTATACACAGACCAAGCAGATGACTACAACAGCACCACAGATTGGGGTTATAATTGCAATACACGTATATTGGCTGAAATGTAACAGTTAATTTATAACAACACAACAGATTGAAGGAATAGCAATCTACATTTATAACATCCCATTTTTGTTGACAGCATAACAGATTGAGTAAATTATTAATTAAGCTAACTCGAAAATCTTTGGGCAATTTGAATGCACTGTACAGTTCACGTGTCCATTACTTTACACTTTTTTTGTGTCCATCAGTTTCAAACATTTGTGTTCCCTAGAAAAGGGTAAATGAACGCACAAATTTTTTTTTAAATCAATTAATTACTAATTCATCAAATCTATAGGCTACTGAAAATCAAATTACATAATCGGGAAACAAATTTGATGAGAAGTGCGAGATGCTCCTACGAAATAAATGTTCGTTTAAGATTGTAAACTGAATGATCATGATCTTAACTGGCATGTAGATATGCAAAGCAAATGCAAATTCACTCATGGCATTGGTCCATCTTAACTGAAGGTCTCAAAGTAAAGCTAGTAGTACTCAAAAATTCCAATACACAACAACATTCCAATACAAATTCCAATGCATCACAAAATTCCAATAGAAATTCAGAAAGTAGCATATCACAAAATTTCAATACATCACAAAAATGGGCGTGAGAAACAGTAAATTTGCAAGATATGGTGATGACCCGTGACATCAAAATAACGTACAAGGCGTATAGAATTCAAAGCCCAAACCTATTTCAACTGAAAATCAGATTACATTCAAACAAATACTGTCGAAGCCAACAGAGAGATGCTCTAGACCACAAAATTGTTCCTTGTAGTTTTTATTTACGAAAAAACTAACACTGAAAAAATGTAATTAATTCATAGGTAATTTTTTTTGTCCATTACTTTCTGAAAATTTTTGTACACTAAAAAACAGGTTAAATGAAACAAGATTGAGAGATGGTCTGTGCCAATTGAAACAAGATTTATTTATTTTTTCCCAAATTGAAACAAGATTTTATTAATAATTCATCAAATGAAAATTACAAATTTTATTAAATTTTGATGAAAGCCAAATTTTATATCTGAGAATAATTTTGAAAAAGATTTTTACAAAAAATTACAGTACGAAACCAAAATGTGTTATTTTGTCCAAGTTTTTTTATTTACACTGAAAATCAAATTAGGGAAAAAAAAATATTGATGAAGATTGAGAGATGGTCTGTGCCAATTAAATAGTCGTTTTAGTTGTTATTTAGATGGCATAAAGGGGAGAAAAAAAAAATTGGTGAAGAAAATCTGCAAAAACCCCCAAATGAAGTAAGACGAAAAAGAGGGAAAATGGTTTGCTAATCAATGTATTTTTTGTTGGACACGACATGGTGAAGAGAAGTAGGAAGATCTGTGACTCAACAACGAACGAAGAAAAAAAATTGCAAGGGAATACATCATCATCGGTGCAGATCGATGAAGAAAAATTTCAGATAATGGTGTTTCGCAACCGTACCTTTCTATCTCCTCGATGATCGGCTACTTGGTCTTCCGTAACAGTTCCGCCGGAATGAGCCGCCGGAGAGAGGTAGTCAACTCTGCTGTTAAAGCGTCCAGGTAGAGCCTTTGGTGAGAGAGATGAGAGATCTCAGCATGTTTCGAAACAGGTAGAGCAACGGAGGGTAAATACGTCTTTTTACCCACAAAATACCATATAGCTAGGCTGAGCTCCTTCACTTAGCTACAGTGCGAGGTTTTGAAATTTTGTCCGTTGGTGAAGAAAATAGGCACCAAACCACATTCCCAAACACCACCAAAATAATACAACCAACACAACAAAAAACGTGCAACTATTATATTAAAACTCATCAAATATCGCATGCATGCGCAAAATCACTCAAATCTTCATTGTCAAAACACCAACAGATTGCTTTTATTTCCAAAAAAAAAATTTTTTTTTTTTTTTTTTTTAATACTACCCTAAATTAGCTTGGAGTAAGTTTACTTAGATGAGGTGAAGTAACGAACTAAGGGAAACAAAAATAAAGAAAGAAACAAAATAAAATAAAATAAATAACTAAAGAAAAACAGATAAACGAAAATATGAGAATAAAAGAAATAAATAAATAAGTTAGTAGAGGAAAAGAAAATCAAATCAAATACAATAAAGAAAATAAAAACTAAACCACTAACCAACTAAACTAAACAATTAAATAAAAGTTAAAGAAATAAGAAACCACTAAACTAAACAATTACATTAAACAAAATAGGCAACCACAAGCTATATTATTATTATTATTTTTAGTTTTAGGGTGGGCCGCACGTACGCCGGGGTAGGCCGTACGTGCTATGGTCAGTTTTTGGGTTCCAGCAGAATTTTTTTATTTTTTAGGATGACGACGATGAACAATGCTCTAAAAACCACCATTAAACTACCAAAATACTATACTACAAGTCAAGGCTAAGAAATCTAAACAAAAAGAAGGTGGTTACCTTAAAAAAGTACGGAGAAAAAGAATGAAAAAGAGAAGATTGGAGATCTGCCGGAAAAAAAGACCACAGGAAGATCGCCGGTCGGAGAAAATTGTGATGCTTTGGTGGTAAGGTGGTGGTGAGAAAAAGGATGAGTGAAGGTAGAAGGAAGAGTAGTTGGTGATGGTGGGGTTTGATGGGTTTGTGAGTTTGTGGAGTTTAGAGAGAGAGAGAGAGAGAGAGAGAGAGAGAGAGAAAACAACGAAAAATGAGAGGTAGAGAGAGAGAGTGCTGAGAAAAAAATAGTCAAAGAGGGCTAGGGTTTGGCTTAAAGAATTCCCAAAAAACAAAAAATCCCGTAGGAAGAGAAATAAATCAATTTTTTTTTTTGTCGGAAGAGAAATAAAATAAACAAATAAAGATAAATCAACAAATAAATAAAATCTACACGAAATTATTATTATTATTATTATTTTTGGACGGACTGCTCGTGCACCCATGTGAGCCGCACGTGCGGTGAAATAAGAACCACACCACATTATACTCGTCTATTTGGAGTAACCTTGCGGTTTAAAGGCTTGTTGCATATGTTAAATGTAATCGTGATCCCTACAAAAGTGGCTTAGAGTATTTTATTTTTCTTATTTTTATTGTTTTGCTCGAGGACTAGCAAAATATACGTTGGGGGAAGTGCTATAGGCTGAAAGGTACCATATTAAGGCTGCTTAAGTTGCATTTATAGTCTTTGAATTTTATTTATTTGGTGGAGATGATGTGTTTTGTGCATTTGTACAGATTTGGCAGGCAACACGCAAATTCAAGCAAAAAGTAGCACAAAAGCAAATTCTCCATGCGAGTAGTGAAAATTCCCAACCTGCCACCTCACGACACCGCACGTGCAGCTAGGCGACACCGCACGCGCGGCCCATCACCGCTCGAGCCGAAAATACGGGTGCTCGAGCAGCCAACCTAGGGTTGCATGCGCAAAATTTCAAGTTTGTTCTACTGGAAAAAAAAAAAAAAAAAAGAAAAAAAAAAAAAGCTACTCTAGAAGTCCAAAAATTCCAAAAGAGAGCGGCTAGGGTTTGGAAAGGGGGATTTTCAAGCTTCAAGAACATCTTTCATGGGGGTGTCATCTTCTTCCACGTCGTCCCATTCCTCCATAAATGGCTAGACTTCTATTTCTAAGATTTTGATGAAACCCTAGCCACGTAAATAGGATTTTTTTTTTTTTTGTCTTGATTATGCAATGGTTTGAACAAGTTGTATGCCATTCAAGAAGTTTCTACATATATTTTTCATTATTTCTTCAAGTATTCTACTTTCTGTGATTGTTGAATGCTTTCCATGCGATGGTTTTCTATTCTTTCATATTCAAAATATGAGGCGAGCTATGCTACGAGGGACGAGTCGTTTTGCTACCCTAGTTTAGACCGAACGATTCTATGCTATTTGAAATGATTTGTGCCCATACATTGAACGTAATAGTTCTCTTGATCAATGCTTCGAACTTGTAATTGCGAAGTATTATTTGGTTCGCACTATAACATAATTGATTTTTAAATTGAAACCATATTTATGTAACTAACGGTGAATTCATTACCCTAGGTTTTCTCCAAAAGAAGTAATCCCAATTAAATTTTTAATCGTTAGTTTAACTTGTTAGTATTTTAATTAGCATTAGTTTATAAACAATCATCTCTATGATCAGAATTAATTTAAGAATTTAGCAATTAAATTAGTTTAATTTCACATTTGTCCCTGTGGATCGATACCTGGACTTGCCATTATTCTAAGGAATTTGATATACTTTAGTGTTTATTTTTTGTGTGTAATGACCCGTCGATGCCGCTCATAAATACTCCACAGGTTCAATATGAAACCAAGCAGGATGAGAAGGCACAGATTCAATCAACTGGCTGACTGCCACAACTATGACAGTTCGGCACAACCAAAAAAATGGCATGTTGGGTTGTCATGCAAGATGGAAAGGCCGCGGTAGGTCTCTGCAACTACAGTAGATATAATGGACTGACAAACCATTGCACGTCTATTGTTTTTTATAAAAAAATCCCCACTGAATTGTAATTACTGTACTGATAATTTCTAGTAAAGGTTTTCAAACCAAAATGTGCAAGAACCAACGGTTGGTTAACCACCAAAACCAATAGGTAAAATAAGAAAATACCAACCAAATTAATACATGAGCTACACAATATGTTAACCAGATTTTTTATTTTTCTTGAATAAAAATGTTTCATCAAATTACCAAGTAAAATGCAACATTATTATAAGAGTAGAGAAACTATTGATTGAAACATTTAAACGAAAACAAAACATTAAATAAAAATAATATAAAAAACACATACACACAGGATAATGAGAAGCAAAGAGTACCTTATTTTATTTTTTTCCGACTCCACTCATGCCATCAAAACTTCCAAATAAACAACCTATTTTATTACAAATGTAAAGGAAAAAAATATACAAAAAACTATTTACTCTTGTTTCCAAGCATTGATACCTATTAGAAAATAAAACAGGTGCACTCCAAAAGTTCTTGTTCATTAATATATGCTATTAAAAATAATGCATGGCAAAAAAAATAATGCAAATAGTGAACTTGAATCTAGACAAAGATGAACTGAAGAAAAGAATGTAAACCCCTAAGAAGTATCAACATGTCTAGCAATGACAATGAAATAGAAACATTACCTGAAGATTGAGGGGGCATGTCTCTTGGCCCTTTCGAGTCTCAACCCATTAAAATGATGAAAACGATGTGATGAAGAATGTGATCTAGTCTCTGCTTATTATGGGAGATTCTATTTCCACACTTTTTTTCGTCTCTGTGTACACAATTAACGAAATGAAAAAAAAAGTTATGACAATTTTATCATGAAGCAAAATGACCATAATGGACATCAATACACACTACAAATTAAATCTAGATTTTCTTTATACACATCTTTAAAAAACAATAATTCTCAATGCACATCTTTAAAAAACACACACACACACAAATTAAAACTTAGTTCCTACATTGTTTCTCACTACCTCTATTGTTATCCATTACTTGCTACACTCCATTGTTACATACACCCATTGCTTGCATAAACTACTCTGATATCGAGTACTGAAAAATTGTAAAACATTCGGCATTACAGAACCGATTTAATTTAAAAAAATCAAAAATTAAATATCGAAAATTTATAAATAATTGGGAAGTATATAATTGAAAATGTACAATAATTACGAAATATTTTTTCTGATTGATCTTTCAGTTCCTTCAGGTTTCAATGGCTGCCAACAACAGCCCCTCTGCCCTAGAAAAAGAACAGGTACTTCATACATATACAGACACCAACACCATATATGTGTGCTTATGAGATAGGCAAAACTATTAACCGGAAAAGATTACCTTTTTTGATGATTTTGTGCAGATCACGAAACCCCTCTCTTTTTTTCTTGAGATCGCGAAATGGAAGAACAATAACATATTACGGTGGGATGGTTCGGGAAAGAGGAAAGAGTAAGTGGAATTACCTGAAAATGCTTGGGGTTTTCGCAGCAATTGCTTTGGTTCTCCTACTCCTCTTTATTCTCTGTATGCGGCTAGGGTTTCGCAGCAACCACTCCGTTTGCTCTGAGGACTGAGAGACTGGAGAAAAAAGGCTTCAATCTAAAATAGTTTGGTTAAAAAATAAAAAAAATAAAAAAAAAATTCTGAAATAGTTATGAAATTATTTTTATATTATCATTAATGTATGTTGGGTAATTAAAAATACATTTTTTGATATTTTAATTTAAATTATAAATTACATATTGTAATTTAGAAAATTATAAATATCTCTTTGTCAGAATTTTATTTAACAGAATTAATTAAAAATTAAAATTTATAATTATTCTCTTATACAATAATAAAATTATTTAAATTATTAATTGAAATATGTTTCTAACATCATTAAAAACTGTTAATTGACTTAATGATTTATTAATAAAAATGACAATTTATTATGAAATTAGAAACCTCAAGGAATGAAATATAATTTTCAAAACCACAAAAGGCGATTCGGATTATAATCAAATCTCATGGATGTATTTATAATTTACCCAATGTATTTTTTTATTGAAATAGATAGTATTTTTTTAAAAAAAAATTATTGTAGTATGTGAATGGTGGATGAAATATAATTTTTTTTTAAAAACAAAATCCAATATTTTTAAGTTTTAAATTTTTTTATATTTTTCTAGTTGTTTAAATATATAGTTTTTAAAAAATTTAAAAAGGTCGTAAAAAACAAAAAAAAACAAAAAAATACTCAAAAAAAGAAATTTTTAATTTTGTAGTGGCATGTGAATGGTGGAGTGAATTATATTATAATTTTTTTATTTTTGTCTAGTCAGGTAAAATGTAAATATTTAATTCTTTTTTAAAAAATTTAAAAAAGGTGATAAAAATCCAATATTTTTAAGTTTTAAATTTTTTTATATTTTTCTAGTTGTTTAAATATATAATTTTTAAAAAATTTAAAAAGGTCGTAAAAAACAAAAAAAAAACAAAAAATACTCAAAAAAAGAAATTTTTAATTTTGTAGTGGCATGTGAATGGTGGAGTGAATTATATTATAATTTTTTTATTTTTGTCTAGTCAGGTAAAATGTAAATATTTAATTCTTTTTTAAAAAATTTAAAAAAGGTGATAAAAAGGAAGAAAAAAAAAAGATAACAAAAAAACTACTCAAAAAATTATATCCAAACACCACTTAAAAAATATGTGGAAATGTTGGTTACGAATATGCCAAAATGACATTGCATTATTAGAGTACCATTACTATAATTTAGTATTTTACTACTATAGCATGTCAAATTATAATTTTAGCAATGCTACTATGACAATTAACATTGAAGATGCTCTTAGAACAAATTATACCTGTCCCTTATATTTGAAAAATATATATATATATATATATATATATTTATATATATATATAATAAATTCTATAATTTTAATATAATTATATTGAAACACGGAGTCTCATATTGATTAATAATTTATTAATTACATGAATGAAAAAATGATATTCTCATTTATTTTACTCAACAACTTATATCTTAAATTATTTTATGTTTTTACATTAATTCTGATCCATTTAGCAATATTAAAGAAAAATTAATATAACTACGTCAAAACTTTGAAAAAAAAATTCAAATTTTAAGGTTAGTGTAATGGGTTTATTACACTTTATACCCCTAAATTATCGTCAAATTGTCAGTCTATTAAGTCCCTAAAGTATATAGATTAAAAACTATTTAGTTCCTAAACTATCGATTTAATCTATTAAGTCCACAAGATCTTTAAATCAAACATATTTAATCCTTGAAAAGGTTACAAAAATAAAATATAAGCTCATAAATATTATATATTGGTAAAAGACCCTAATCTAATTAAAATTTTATTTCAAAAAAAATCTTAAATTTTTATTCTATCTTTAAAAAGTGGGTGTGACCTCTAAGGGTGAATTTTCTTTTTGAGGATAAGAGTAATTATCTATAGTATTTTCTTATTTATCTTCTAAAATGATTACGTGTATTTGTCTTTATCTAATATTATATGTCAGATTTCGTTTATAATTATTAATTGATTGTTTTAAGTTTTTTCACTAAGTTCTTTTTATAATAATTAATGTGGGAGCCGAATAATTTTGGATCAATAGGAGCGGACCAGTCCGGTCCAAAACATAACTTCTATTCAGCATTGACCCTATCCAATTGAGGGGCCGAATAAAAGAGCCGGCATTCCTGCCAGTAAAACAAGGGCCGTGTAGAAGTACATGGCAAGGACTAGGAGTGGGCCAGGCCCTAAGGCCCAAAGATAATACTATAAATACAAGATCTTCAGTCCTAAAGAGGTATGTGAGAATTATAGTGCTTAACTTAGAATATAATCATTCTGGAGTACGGTTATTAACTTGTCCGTCAGAGTGCTAATTTCGGCACCCCCGCCGGAGTGTATATTCCTTTTCAGGTGACCGGAAGAGGATCTCGAGCGTTCCCCAAGATCAGAAGAGTATTTCCAAACCACTTCTCCACAACTGGCGCCATCTGTGGGAATACTCAAGCACATCCATGGCAAGCGTGACGGAAGATCCTCTGACAGTCACCATCGACCCTATACCCCAAGAGGAAACTACTCCAACAAACTTTCTTGGAACAGAGACTATCGCCGCAAGACGTGCCTTGAATTTCGCCTCACCCTCGAGTTCAAAGCACGAGACAATGCAGGCGATCATGGAACAAGCAAAGCAAAATGAACAGAGGTTAGAAAACATGATCACTGAGAACGAACGTCTTCGTGAAGATTTGGCCCTGGAAATGGCGAAGTCCAAGCAAGCTGCGTGCCCAAATCCAAAACAACCTCTGAAGGCAGGTGGTCGACAACCTCAAGCACGACAAGACACTGATAGTGACTCCGACTCATCATCCCTAGAGCCCAGGAAGAAGGGACAACACGAAACCACCAGTTCTTCCGAAGAAAGTCCCCGTGCAATGCACAAGCGAAGAAGGAACAGTTCGGACGAAGACCAACACGATCCCTACGTACGACGGATTGCAAAGGCTGCGCTACCCAAGAAATTCAAAGCACCATCGTTTACCTTGTACGACGGCAAATTAGCCCCCCCCGACCACATCCGCCACAATAAGCAGGCCATGACATTGCATGCAGATGATGAGGCCCTCATGTGCCAAATATTTCCCAGCAGTTTGGGACCATTGGCAGTCAGGTGGTATTATAAATTGGAGCCGGCTTCGATCAAAACCTTCCACCAACTACAAAAATCCTTCAGGGCCAGATTCATCACCAACGAAGTCCAGCTGAAGCAAGCCGACTCTCTCTGGGCAATGCAAATCCTGCCAGGAGAAACACTAAGAGCATATTCGACGCGATATTGGAAATGCATTAATCTCGTTGACGATGCTTGTAACGACTCCATGGCCATCACTGCCTTCAAAATGGGATTACACCCAGACAGTGCCCTCCGCAGTTTCCTGACTAGAAGACCCCCCAAAACAGTCTGGGGGTTGATGAAAAAAGTAGAGGAATACTGCAAAGTGGAAGATGACGCCTTGCGGGTTAAAGCAGGACAGATGGCCAACAAAATGGCCCCTCCCGAGATTGCTCAGCCAATAAGTTCCGTACCACCTCAGAGCCCTGAACCACGACAGCGAACTAAACGAGACAGGAGACGGGACTCCTGCCGATCTAGCGATCAATGCTTGCACCAGGAAAATGAGCAACTGCAGGTCGATAGCAGGCGCACAAATCGCGCCGACAAGAAATATACGGAGCTGTCAGAGCCAATCAGCTCGATTATGACCAAAATCCAACATCTTTTGTTCTTCAAATGGCCGTCCAAGATGGTGGGACCTCCTGACACGAGAAGGCGGGACAGGCGTTGTGAATATCACAAAGATCATGGTCATGATACGGACAATTGCTATGCCTTCAAAGACCACCTCGAGGAATTAGTGTAAGATGGTCGGTTCCGGCAACACGTCCGGAAGAACACAATCAAAACTGTTGCCCTTCGGCAGGAGTCACCTCCCCTTGGCGTAATACATATAATATACGGCCTTCCAACGCCATGTACCATACACTCAATTCATTCAGCCCCCCAGAAGCAATGCACACAAACGAAACAGCCCCACAAAGCTCCGAGTATCATCTTCGACAATTATGATCTTATCAAACATAACGCTCCCCCACATTGATCCATTGGTCATTCAACTAAAAGTGAATCGATTTACCGTCGAACGCGTCCTCATAGATCAAGGAAACACTTCGGAGGTCACATACTACGAGACCTTCCTCAAACTCGGCTTCAATGAATTAGACTAGTCTTCAGCTCCTCATCCATTATTCGGCTTCAACACAAATCCGAAGTACCTGTTGGGGAAAATCACGTTATCCGTTCGGGCGGGCTCCCAAACAGTGGATGTGGAATTCATGGTCATCAAGCTACCTTCTCCATATAACCTCATCATGGGGCGAACTTGGCTGCATACTATTTGGGCCGTGCCAAGCACCTATCATCAGCTGCTACGCTTCCCGACCGAACACGGCGTTGAGCAAATTCGTGGTTCCCGGCAATCCGCACAAGCATGATATCTCCTTTCTGGAAAAACACCAATGGAGACACAGGTCAACTCCACTGAAGTGTCGAATCGAGACAGTCTCGTTGACGTTGTACGACTCCCTGACGATAAGCCACAGAAACTTTAGGCGATACCAGATGATGGAGGGCCAGTTGATGGAAAGTTAGGCACGCGGCCTTGCTCCTAACGTATTTGGGCAAATTCTATCATTAAACCCGACCTGCGGGGAATGATATTGGTTCTGAACGGCTCACCATGTACACTTTTCACTTTCGTAATTAATACAAAGATTCGTGTTTACTCACCGTGAAATCCAGCTCAAGAATATTCTAAATAAAGCCTCCGGATTCGGAGCGCCCTTTGTGGATGTCACGATTGGCCGATTAAAGCTTCTGGATTCGGAGCACCCTTCGTGGATATCACAATTGGCCCAAAAAGTCTCCGAATTCGGAGTGCCCTTCATGGATATCATGATTGGCCGATTAAAGCCTCCGGATTTGGAGCGCCCTTCGTGGATATCACGAT